TACCAAAATAACTTTTAGATACAATTACAACATAGTACATTCAATATAATTACAACCACAGCAACAACATTTCATAGCAATCCCAAATACACCCTTAGTCCGTGTTGAGACTTCACAAGAAAGACAAGCGAATTCTAGTAATGCTACTTACATGGAGTTACATATTGAAGATCAAAGATAATTTGTATTTAAGTTATTGCATGAAATTTATTTGAATTTCATTTCACTTTAATTGAATAAAATATGATACTTAATCAATTAATCATAAATAATTGTTTGATTTTTTTTTAATTTTATTAAAGGAAAAACTACTTGAGTATAACAGTTTGTTCTTCTATGGTGAATCAATTTATGCAAATTAGATTTTCTAATAACTCAAATGAGGAGGTTTTTATATTCACATATATAATCATCAAGGACATTTATAGTTTTTTATTAAAATAAAAAATTTCACAAATTATGTATCTTAATTTTTAAATAAACCCTTTTTTTTATTGGGAGGAGTTTCATTGTCGAGTTCTTAATCCATTAAGATTTATATGGATGACAATATTGTTGAAATAGTTAACCTAAAAGGAAACGTTAAGTAAGAGATGATGTAATTTATAAATTTAAAATTATTCAAGATGTTAACAAATATAATTTTTCAATCTTATTTGTAGAGAAACAAGATTAAATCCCAATATCCAGCTAATCATAGCACAGAACAATAAGAGTGACATAAAAAATATTACACATAATATTACAATACATGATATATTGAATATTGTTAGAATAACACATGAAAATGTTTTTTATTGCATTTTTTTTTAAAAAAAAAATTATTCATAGTTATTTTTGTTTTCTTAATAATTATTTATTGTTTTATGAGAAGATATTTTTAGTAAATGCTAAATTTAAAAAATTTCACATAAGAAATGAATAATGATATTCATCGTATATGTCAAACTACAAAAAAAAAAGATATTTTTTAATAAAGCATATATATGGTGCACTAAATGTACAAAGAAAGTATCATCGACCTATTAGTATGAGTGAAAGGAGTTTGATCCCCTTAAGTAAGATCAAGATCTCGAGTTTGAGTCTTGTAAACGGATAAACAGACATTGAGAGAGTTTCTCATTTAGCTTCTAGATACTTAATAGTTAATACCAAAAGAATTGTATAAAGAAAGTTGAATACCTAATACTTAAGTAAATTAATTATAACAAAAATGATTTTTTACTTTGAAATAGTTTTTGCTATTTTTTAATAAATAAATTAATTAATTTTTCTCTCCACTTGAAACCCAAGGTATCATCTGGAATAAGTGATTGGTGATAATAGTCAGGAGAGAATACTTGTTCTATTTGACAATATTGTTTTTGGACTAATATAGTTTCTTGAAGTAAAAATAGTTGATAAACAGATCATTATAAGTATTTTATTACTTAATGAAATACATAAATTTATTGAATTTGATAGACGATTAATGCAATTAATTTTTTAATGTGTCTAGAATGATGATGAAGAATATCAACTCTCTCAACATAATTGAATTTGATAGATACTGCTCATGTATTCCAATTAAAAACTACTAATTTCAATAAAAGTAGTGAAGTTGAGTCTTTTATTGTTAATAAAATAGTAACTAATTTAAAGGTAAAATATATATATATATACATAGAAAATAGTAAAATATGGTATATATATTTATTATTTACTAGAACTAAATATTTATTTTTTTATTGTAGAAAGATGAAAATATCACCTTGAATATTGATACTAAAATTGATTTGAGAAAAAATGAAATTGGTCAGTTATAAGATTCATCAAGTAAAAATTTAATAAATGTACATGAAGGGAAGTCTAAAAAGAGCTTAATAAAGAGAAGAAAATTTTTATATGATTTTTATTTGATTTTATTTCACATTACTTTAAAATATATTATTTTTAGTTTATCAAAAATATTTTCCAAAAAATAATAGAATATACATTTTGTTTTTAATGTATGTTTTCAAAATAAAGTGATGATGAGGAAACAAGGAAAGACCCAATAGAATGGGATGATAAGGATGTAAAATAAGTTTTTAATAAATATATTGTATTGGTTCCTTGATCTTTATAGACATTAGTATTAGTCAAATAAAAGTTTGAAGCATTTCTTTACTTTTGATTATATGTTTATGCTTCATTTTCATTTTGAAATTGAAATTGAAATAGGAGACACGTGCATGTTTATCTAATTATTTAATATTTATTAAATCAATGTATATTTATTATTATTATTCATTACATACATATTAAATCCAAAAAAGAGAAAAGGCTTCACTTTTTAATTTTTCTTTTGATGTAAAAGATAAGTTTATACAAGCATACTAAGCATTCTTAATATTACATATGCTATTATTAACTAAAAAGTTAAAAGAAAATGATGTACTTAAAAGTATAATCACTATTATCAAAATATAATAAAATATGAAAATAAGCAAGATATAAAATATTTAGAAAACTTTAATTAAGGTTTGTTAAAAATTAATAAAAAATAATAACCATAATTACAATTATTGTATCATAATTGATTGATTAAAAATGAAAAATTTTACTTCATTTTAATTAATTAAATTAAATTAAATGAAAAGTAAAATGTAAATTATAGCCAAACTAATAATGAATGGAATTAATAAAAATTTAAGAGAAAAAATAAAAAAATTTATATTTATTACCAATATAAAAATAACAAGATAATGAAAATATATACCTTAATATATATGCACAACCATACAGAGAAATGAATCAAGCAAAACTTTGATGATATATATTTGTAGATTTATCCATTTATGATAACCTATAATTTTATTTTAATTTTTTACTTTTTAAGATAAGTTGATATTCTAATAGTAATTTAGAGATAGAAAACAATAAGGGATGGAAAAATAAAAGGTATAGAATGGTTAAAAAGTTTTGATTATAATTTATTTAGAAATTAATAAAAAAATATAACCATAAGTACAATTGTAATATTATAATAATGATACTGATTGAAAATAAAAAGTCAATATTCCATCCTATCTTATCCTATAATTTAAAGAGACATATTTGTTTGATTCTTATTTATGCTCACCCCTCCCTCATTCTCTATGCAAATTTTTGACAAAGAAATTTTGAGCTGTCCAACAATTTCAAAAAAAGTATATCAATATTTGATACAAATTTTATTTTTTTTCCCAGTTACATTATTTATGCATTATAATCCAACATTTGCTTTTGATGATTATTTTGTGACATAAAAAACTCCTAGTCTATGGAAATAATTAATTTCAAAGTATTATTGGACAGGATATTTATTCAATTGAATCAAATTAGTTACAATATCAAATAATTCTAAGTGATGATGGGAATTACACCTTCAAAGTTTTACTAATCTAAGAAGAGGACTATATTGTTATAAAATTAATTTACAATGTCTATCATTTGATAATTATGAAAAAAGCAGAACAATTTGTTGCAAAACATGCTATCTTCGAATTGGAGAAATCTCATGATTTTGCAATTGAAAATGTTAACTATACTAGAATGCAAGCTATTGAAGAAGCTTTTAGAGACAGTTTTCTATACATGAAATGAAGAAAGAAAAAGTAGAGTGTAAAGACCACATTTCAAGGATTATTAAAAGAGTTAGAGTAATGTTACAAAGGATAAAAATATTTTATTAGAGAATAACAAAAATGAATGCACTTTTAAGTAATATTTAATAATTTTTATACCATGCAGTGTTGACTATCCATATACAATACAAAAAATTTGTAGGCTTATCTTTGTTTTATATATTCCATTTTAATTTTCTTAAAGTCATTAACAATGTCCTCAAACAATCTATTATTAATTTAATTGTTATTAATAATTATTTAACTTTATCGGTATTGGTTAACTATTATTGCTCCCTTGTTTTCTTATATAATATTATATTTAATTAATTTATTTAGTTTTTTATGTTATCATCTTGTTTACAATAATTAAATGAGATTAACACATATTTTTATTCAATTATTTGATTTGATGTATATTAAATCAATATAATCAATGTTGTTTTCTATTATGTGTATATTAAACTAAAAGAAGAGAAAAGGATATGCTTTTTAGTTTACAGAAGATAATGAAAGATAAGTTTACACAAGCATACAAAGTATTCTTAAGGTTTTTTTTATTTCAATTTTCCATATAAAAATTTTATTAATACAAAATATAAAAGATAGTTCAACCTGAAACAAGTCTCAAGATAATATCCAATATATATATATATCAAAAATAAAGCACATACCATTTCCTCCAAGTTCACAATGCCCATCCACCCATGTCCATATGACTTCATACAAGAAAACATTTTTAACATTCCATGTATTATTATTAAATAGAAAGCTAAAAAGTACAAGATACGAGAATTTAATCATTATTAAAAATATAATAAAGTATAAAACACTAAAAGAGTAGAATGTTTAAAAAGCTTTAATTAGGATTTTTATTAAAAAAATAATAAAAAACATAACTACAATTACAATTACTATATTATAATTACAATTAATGCAAAAACATAACCACAATTATAGTTATTATACAATAATTGAAAATAAAATGGTTTAATTCATTTTAGATTAGATCAGAAAAATATGCAAACTATAACCTAACTAATAAATAGAATTAAATTTGATATTAAAAAAAAAAACAAGAGGATAGTGCAAAAAGATTGGTATGAGTTATAATAGGGTTTATGAGTATATTTTTAAAATATGTCTCATTTATATTTTAGTAACTTAGAAATAAAAATACAATAAAGTATCAAAAAACAAAAAATATAAAATGGTTAGAAAGTTTTAATTAGGATTTGTTAATTAATAAATTAATTAAAAATATAATCACAATTACACTTATTGTCATGCCCCATAACCCAAATCCGAGGCGTAACAAACGTCGTGTACTCGTGAGAGGATCTCACAAATGCACAAGACTCGGAACTTAATCATATCACAATCTGATACCACTCCATAACTTAAATCAAACATCTCAATTTATTTGCATATCCAAAATGACTTAAATCTAAGTAATTGATCTAATGACCGAAATCTGTTTTGATCTCATAAATTCAAGGTAAAATCTTAAAATTGCTCGGATATCATAAAATCTCCAAATACAATCTAACTTACAAAAGCATGATTTATTTCTAAAATCTATATCAATCTCGAAATGGCTAGCCTTCTAACTCATCACTTTTCGTGGTTTCCCTGTCCTTGGCTTCGCTTCTTGAAATGGTGAATAAGGAAAAACTATGAGATAACTCAATAAGTAAATATAAATAGCCCTTAATTAACTTATAGCATGCCAACATGTTTAATCACGAAAAACAGATACGGGTATGGAAACGAAATAGACGTCTTCTTTATAGGTCATGGCCAGTGTTATAAACCTCCCACTGGCAAGCACACGAGTTACTAATGTATAATCCCACTAGCAAGATAACAAAAACAAACCGGTTTTATCAGTAACATGTCGACATGTGCTAGCATTTATAAACCTCCCACTAGCGGGCTCACAAATAACATGACCATATCGGAGACAAAACAAGTAGAAGTTAACAGGAAAATCATAATTCACAAATCATTTCCAGATCATCAGGACAGTTAAGTAAACTCCAAGAAGGCAAGCTCAAATCAATAAAAAGAACAATAATTTCATTTGAAATCGATCATACTTGTCTAAAACGGGTTTAGTCCCGCCACCACTTCAAAAATAAGCTAAAATGTGCTTTAAAATCAAAGGGCGTTACCATAATTTACTTACCTCAAATCGCACAAAACCGAGGACTCAATCCAAGTGCTCTAAGCCATAACAGCAACTAATATTCCAAATAAATACATTCAGACTTTGCTAGAATTATTAGCACAACCTTGCAAAATTACTAACCAATGAGCTTCACAAGAAATTCAAACATATGACCAAACATCTCAATTTTATTCTCAATATAACTACACATTTAAACCCTCCTATTGTTGGCCATTAGTGCATGAACAGTACTCATGAACAGTAACTGCATCTTCCAAAAATTGGCAAAACCATAGCTAATTTCACGGGATTTTTCTCCAGAAATCACAGCAGCCAAAATAAGCAAATTTTCTACATGAATTAAACTTAAAACATGTTCAAAGGCTGCCAAAATTTATCCCTATTTCAACAGAATTTTCGAACAACACAAGGGTAGCAACTCAACAAGGCAGCAATTAAGTGGGTAATTTAGGACTTAGAGAAGTGGCCATCATACCAGAATTTAGCAGCAAAAACCGGAGCTGCAGATTGGGGAGGGCCGGCGGGAAGTGCAGGGAGAACTTCAGGATTGTCACGCCCCAAAACCCAAATCCGGGGATGTGGCAGACGCCAGGCACTCGTGAGAGGGACCCACAAATGCACAAGGTTCGGAACTTATCATACTATAATCTGATACCACCAAATCTGAAAATAAACTTATAAAATTTGCTCTGATATCATAAATCTCCAAATAACGTTTAGTTTATAAGATCATGATCTATATTTAAAATCTATATCAATCTCAAAATAGCGAGCCTTTTAACTCGTCACTTCCAGTGGTTTCCCCGTTCTCGGTTTTGCTTCCTGAAATGGTGGACAAGGAAAAACTATGAGATAAACTCAGTAAGTAAAATATGGAGTGCCCCTTATTAAACTTATAGCATGCCAACCAGTATAATCAGAAAAACAGATACAGATACGGAAACGAAATAGACGTCTCCTCTATAGGTCACAGCCAGTGTTATAAACCACCCACTAGCAGGCGCACTGTTTACTAGTGTATAATCCCCACTAGCAGGGTCACTCGAACGAACCGGTTCTATCACTAACATGTCGACATGTGCTAGCGTTTAACCCCCACTAGCAGGATCATTAATAACATAACCACATCAGAGACAAAACATGCAGAAGTTAACAAAAAAATCTTAATTCACCAATCACTTTCAAATCATCAGGACAATCAATTAAATTTCAAGTAGGCATGCTCAAATCAATACAAAAAATAATAATCTTATTTCAAATCACTCATGCTCATTTTTGTATAAAACGGGTTTAGTCCCGCCACCACTTCAAAACAAAACAAGTTAAAATGTGCTTTAAATTCGGAGGGCGTTGCCATAATTTACTTAGCTCACTTGCATAAAACCGAAAACTCGATCTCAGTACTAAACTGACAGAACAATCAAGAACCTAATCAAAATACCCAAGAATTAATTATCGTATCATGGATTTAAAAGTAAAATCACAATGACTACCCCTTACTCATGATGCTATTTCTATCAATCTCCACATAATCGGACATCTCCAAATTTATTCTTATATTACAAACCAAACATTTAAATCCCCATTAATTGTTGGCCATTAGTGCGTGAATAGTAATATGTGAACAGTGCCGTGAACAGCACCCATGAACAGTACCATAAACAGCGCTCACGCCGTGAACAGTACTGCAACTTCCAAAAATTGGCCAAAACACTAGCTAAATCACGGGATTTTCCTCCAAAATCTCACAGCAGCCAATTAACTAATTTTCTACATGAATTAAGCTAAATCATGGTCTAAATATTATCAAATTCATCCTCATTTCTCACGGCAAATTTCGGACATACAAGGCAGCAAATAAATGGCTAAATTTCAGCAATTAAATGGGTAAATTTTGGACTTAGAGAAGCTGCCACATACCATAATTTTCCAGCAAAACCGGAGCTGCAGATTGGGAAAGTTGCCGCCGGGAATTTGGGGAGAAACCCACGGGCTACCAAAAATTGGAAGGAATTAAAAGCAATTAAAGTAAACCCAGCCTAAATCAAGGTTAAAGAGGATTTAATGGCTGTTTTTCTTACCAGAAACCAGGCCAATTCGCCCCCACAAGGCAGAAGCAGCCGGCGGCAATGCAGGGCAAGCTCACGGGCTACCCAAAATTCAAGAAACAACAAATTTAACATGAACCCAAGCTAAATCAAGTTGAAAAGATGGAGTTCGTGGCTGTGGCTTATCGGAAAAATGCCCAGAAATCACACACCCACATGGCAGCCGGCGGACAGGGGAGGAAGAGCAGAGCAGATCCGGGATTTTCTGCAGAGGGGAAAGACTTCTCAGCTCCAAATCTGGTTCTTGAACAAGAAAAGAAGGGAAAAATCCAAGCTTTCTCACCGGTTTTCTCAAGGGAAAGGAAGTCGGTGGCTGGGGGCTTGGGGGCTGTCGGGAAGAAGAAGAATGAGCAGATGCGCGGGTGAGGAAAAAGAAAGAAGAAAGAAAGAAATAAGCCATCCTTATCCAAATTTCCCTCTTTAAGTCCCTCAACTTAGAAAATTTTTCCATTAAGCCCCAACATAATATTTCCTCTCATAAAAGTCCTTAACTTAATGTTAAAATATCACAAAATTTTGGGATATTACAAGGATCTATCCAAAAATTGGAGAAACCAGGAGAAATCAAAGTTAACCCAAGCCAATTCGAGGAAAAACAGAGAATTTAATGGTTGTTGCTTACCGAAAAAAGCCTAAAAATCGCATCACAAGCTGCAGCTCACGGACAGGGGAGGGGGAGAAACCGAGCAGATCTGGAATTTTTGGGTTGAGAGAGAGAGTTCTAAGTCCCAAATCTTGTTATTGAGCAAGAAAAGAACAAAAATCATCAAGTTCTCTTACCGATTTTTCAAAGGGGAGGTGCTGTCGATGGCCTAGCCTTGTCCCGCTGCAGGGGAGAAAAAAAGAAGAGCAAACGCGCGGGCGAGGAAGAAGAAAGAAGGAAAAAAAATAGTTGATCCTTATCCAAATCCTTTTCTCTTTTAAGTTCCTCAAGTTTGGATATTTTAGCTAATAAGCCCTAAAATAATATTTTCTCACACAAAGGTCCTCAACTTAAATGCTAGAATTCCCAAAAATTTGAGATATTACACTTATAATATCATATTTAATTAATTGAAAATGAAGAGCTACCATTTTTTAAAAAACTAAACACATATTTATTATATTCCTATTTAAACTCACCCCTCCCTCATTCTCCATGCAGCTTTAACAAAAGAGTTTGAATTAGTCAATTGTTTTAAAAAGGTATCAATTTCTCTTATTTTTTGGCCATAATATCAACTTCTCTTATTTAAATTAAAATATTTGATTTGATATGTAAGGTGGTATATCAATATTTGTTATAAGATATTTGATATTTATTTCATTTTTTTAATTATATTATTTATACATCACAATCCAACATTTTCTTTTGAAAAACTATTCTATAGCGTGGAATACCCCAAGTTCCTGAAAAGAATTAACTTTAAAGAACTACTAGATAGAATATCTATTCAATTATATTTAGGCTAGCTACAATACCAAACCATTCTAAGTGATGATGGGAATTACATGTCCAAAGTACAACTAATTCAACCAAACAACTATAGTACTATGAAATTAATTTATAATGGCTATCCTTTGATAATTGCAAAAGAAGTAAAACAATTTGCTGCAAAACATGCTATCTTAGAATTGGAGAAATCTCAAGATTTTACAATTGAAGATGTTAATTACACTAGGATGTAGGTTATTGAAGAAGCTTTTCATAAGTAATCTTCTATGCATGAAAAAGAGAAAGGAAAGAAGCTCAATATAAAGACCATGTTTTGAGAAATGTTGAAGGAGTTAGAGAAATGAGAGCAAGAGTAAAATATTTTACTATAACAAGAGAAAAATAAATTCATTTTTGTGCAATACTTAATAGTTTTTATGATATATATTGATTATCAATAATAAAAAATATAAATAAATTACAGGCTTATCTTCTTTGTCTTATACATTTCGTTCTAATCTTCTTAAGTCATTAACAATATTCCCAAAATCACAGTACATGCTAAAGGAAACAAAATCTCCTAATGAAAAATCAATGCATATGAAAAATAAATTATCTTAAAAAGCCTCCATTAATTAATAAGAGAAAAAACCATAAATAAATATCTAACAAAGCCTTACAATTGATTGATATGCTCATAAGAATATCTAACAATAGTTTGGCTTCTTTATATTTAATCCAAAAATAAATAATCATATAGCAATATAGGATATAAAGAGTCTCATTCAAAATTACCATATTAGCAATAAGAAATCATAGTATTATTTCACCTCTAATTATGAGATAAAAGAACTTATAATATACTCTATGCTTTCACCTTACCTTTTTCATTATTATAATTATTCATAAGTACACAATTCCTTTTCTTTCCTTTGAAATTATACCATTTTAAACCAAACTGTTATGTACATTGCGCTTCATATTTGTCATCAACAATTAAGTTATGAGTTGTAACCATTATTTGTTATGAATCAATTCATTATGAATGTTTCACCTTTCTTATCTTCTCACCTCTCCACTTTCCATGGTGTTTATACACCAAGTGATGTCTCGTCTCAAAATTAATACCCTTTGACTAAGCAGTTGTTGTAGCGTAGCTTTAAGTGTCGAATCCACAAAGAAGCTATATTAAATTAACAAAAAGAGTTGTCACAATGAGAAATTAAATTAAAAGATGAATTCTAAAATTAAGAATAAAAATATTTAAATAAAAGATGATAATTGTAAAAGATTAAAAACAATATTATGATAAACAAGACTTCAGGGTTCACTTAATTGATTTGTTTAACTGTTATAAATTTTGATTCTTATTTATTACTCAATTACATGTTTCACATCCCAAACAAACAATCGGAAGATTCAACTTTGAAAACCAATAATAATGACTAATGTATTTATTCTGAGAAAAATTAATTTCAATGAAGAACAAACTGATCTATTTTTACAAGCTATCCAAGAGCGACAATATATCTAATCGACAATACTGCAGTAAAGGATCAACCCGTAAAACAAATCTACCAATCAATTATATTCTAACAAATCACACATAAAAAGAGCATGACTAATCTTATATGAAATTTGATAAATATAATTTTCAGGGTTTTTAGATTTGAAAATAATTAATAATCTCTCAAAAATAAAATAAAACAATAAAATCTATGAATGAATCAAAATAAAATAACAAGTCAAACTCTTCAATCAAGATCCTCCCTAATCTTATTGAAAGTTTAGTTGCCCTTTAACATAATTCTCTAGTCTTGAAGAAGAAAATAGAAGTCTAGTAGCAGCCTCTCCAACCTTGGAACCCCCTTTAAAATAACTTGGATGGGTATTTATAGAATCCTAGAAACCCTAATTAGAATAGATGTGGGGCTGGGCTGAATTACCGCGCAAGGGGTCGACACTCTTTACAAGGTGCCGGCACTTTGAGTGGAGCGTCAACTGCATCCTCCGTGTCGGGTTTTTGGCCTTTTGTGCAATTTTGCTTAATGGCAGAATAGCAGTCTTGGTCCCTAACTCCTGGATTCAGTGCAAGTTGATCATCATATTTCTGAGCTTTGCAATTTGCTCCTTGATCAAGAATGGAGAAAATCTCACTTGAGCCTTTAAACTTCTGATTTATCCTTAGATCCTCATCTTTTCAGCTCTTTGCATTTAAGTCCTTTTTCTTCTAATTCTCTCCATTTAGTCATCAAACCTTT